GCCTGTATCTAATTCCATGTTTAAATCTCGATTATCAATTTTTAATGTCGGCATCCGTTTAGACGCAGTATCACTGTTAATTTCACTGAGTTTTTCCAGACGTTGCATAATGTCGACCCGCGACGCCGATTGAGTGTCAGTTGCAACCTGATCCGTTGTTTCCGCAAAGACTAGAATTTACTTCGTTGACCTACAAATTTTGGCAATGTGCCCTTTTTTATTGTTATGATACACAGCATCACAAAACTTACACTTGTCACGAGCGTGTGATCCACCGCAGCTTGCGCAGTACGTTCCTTTTTCTCGGAATTCCGTTTGTCACCTTGTCGCTGAAAACGCGGATTTCTTTGCTCGTTACGCTCGTGTGATTGTGGTTTTTGATGTGTGCCCTTCTTTTGTCGCTTGAATTGTGAGGGTGCGTATCCCAGTTTATGCACGGCTTCGGATGTGGTCCCTGCTCCGGCAAATTTAACCTCATTGCTGACGTTGCGCGTGACTTCAAGTGTGTGCGCAATTTCGTATGTTTCTGTGAAAATAGATGGCTTTTATGCAACGATCTTGTCACATATTTCACGTATTAAAAGCCCATGGAGAAATTGTTCAATCAACCTAGCGAGGAACTCGTCGTATTTGCAATGTGCGGAGCCTTGTCTGAAACGCATTGCAAAAGCGTCAATAGCTTCTCTCTCTCTTTTGTTGTACAATAAGCCGGAACTTAATACTCTTGTTCTACGTCAAAACAGTCTTACATCCCAGAAATGTGGGGAACATTGATTTTATATTGAATTTTCTTGTAAAAACCAAATATTCGGATACCACGCTAATTACGAAAAATATTACTTCAGCCAGGGTTCAAACCTGGAACCTCCCTCATTCCGTGTAGGACGTCGAACCTATTTGTCCACTGAGACATATGGTAATATTTTTTGCAATAACATATATTAAGTTGACTAAATAATACTAACAATAAGATGGAAATACTTTTTTTTAGGTCAACGGTCAATTGACAATTAATCCGACCAAAACCAATGGTCGAATTGTCACGACAATGATAGTCAATTGTAGTCGATTATAAAATAAAGTCTTTCTCGTTAATCAATTATTGGCGGAAGAAAAATACACTTTTCTGTAAAAAAAAAAATATATTTTTTCTACTCTGATGTCTTTAAAATGTCATATCTATAAGTATAATCGCTCATTCCAAATCTATGTCTAATAAAAATTTCAAAATTTACAACAAGTGATTCAATATGGCGGCTGAAAGTCTGTACAATTTTTGTTCTATATATATATAATATTATACTATACTATGGTAAAAATTTCGGTAATTATGCATATTAATACCCCATCTGCCAATGACCTTGACCTTGACATATGTTGTCAAGGTCATCCTCCTGAGTGATTTTCAGAAGTTTTTAGCCGGCGGTCGTTATTCGTTAAAAAGTTATTAACAAAAAAAGTTTGGAAAATATAGCAGCTACTTTGAGTATTAGAAGACATAAACGACTAATATTATGTTTTTTGTTAAAGCAGAGAATACTTTATTTCGCGAGAAAGTCACTGCTTTACCAAAACACAACATTTAAAGCAGTAAATTGTTGATAAATTGAAGTCTTTTTGTTAAAACAGAGAATATTTTATTTCGCGAAAAAGTCGCTGCTTTACCAAAACAACATTAAAGTAGTAAATTGTTGATAAATTGAAGTCTTTTTGTTAAAACAGAGAATACTTTATTTCCGAGAAAGTCGCTGCTTTACCAAAACACAACATTTAAAGCAGTAAATTGTTGATAAATTGTATATTGAATATATGTGAGTATTGGAAGGCATAAATGACTAATATATGTGTCGAAATAGTTCACGCATATACTTTCCACGCGAGACGAGTTGTCACATGGGTTCGTGGCGCGCTTTACAAGCTTGTTTATATATATACATAATGAATTAGACAGTGCTCGTAATTAATTAGTGTTTATTATGTGTATTAATTTTACAGCAGATACATTCTACTCATAATACGAAAAAAAGCATCAATTCTTTCGTTAAAAGTGTTTTTTTTTTTTTTTACAAATCCGCCAAGTAGTGAATATAATGTGTTTCCACAATGCCAAATCGAGGTATTGCTCCTCGCATCGACTACGTCGATTTCGCCCAAATTCTTACGAATTTATGAAAAATATTTAATAAATATACATATTTAATATAGTGATCAAAATCAAAGTATTACCTCGTGATTTAAATAACGAAACCTATCTTTGACTTAAGGATGTATTGCACCTATTTTCAAAGCGCTACCAAGTGGATAAAAATTTGTGAGAATGTTCTTTTAGTCTTCCTGATGTGCTACAAAAAAAATAGAAACGAATCCACTAAACGGTTGCTGAGATATAACGATTTTAATTTTCACTGATTTTACACGTATTTTTATGGGAAGAGACGATTCTGACAGATAAAACAGCTAAAAAAATGTTGAAGGAGCGCTACCAATATTTTGAATTTTTTTGTACACCTAGCATACGAATAGATGAAACTATCTGTCAAGTTTCAATTGTCTTCACTACACCGTTTTAAAGAAATAAATTAATAATTAATGATAATTAATTATTAATTAATAATTAATTATTAATTATTAATTTGATTAATAATTTGACGTTATAAAGTTGAAATCAGGGCATTTTTACTGCCAAAAGTTTAGGCTCATAAATTACAAAAATCGCAAATAATACTGGAAAAAACATTTGTAAAGTAAAAAATACCTTTGTAAGGAGTAGTAAAAATAAGACTACTATCATTTGAGTATCTTCCATCTAGATTTACTATGCGTTAGGCGTAGATATTCAAGTATTTCAAATTTCATGCACTTTTGTCTAAGATTGTACCAGTGATACATCCTTAAAAGTATTCTCTGTTTTAACAAAAAGATTTCAATTTATCAACAATTTACTGCTTTAAATGTTGGGTTTTGGTAATAAAGCAGCGACTTTCTTGCGAAATAAAGTATTCTCTGCTTAAAAAAAAGACTTTAATTTATCAACAATTTACTGCTTTAAATGTTGTGTTTTGGTAAAGCAGCGACTTTCTCGCGAAATAAAGTATTCTCTGCATGCTTTAAAAAAAAAACGTAATATTAGTCGTTTATGCCATCCAATACTCAAAATAACTGCTATATTTTTCAAACTTTTTTTGTTAATAACTTTTTAACGAATAACGACCGCCGACTAAAAACTTCTGAAGGTCACTCAGGAGGGTGACCTTGACAACATATGTCAAGGTCAAGGTCATTGGCAGGTGGGGTATTAATATGCATAATTACCAAAATTTCATCTATACTTGATATATTAAAACTATAGAGCGGTTTTTGGGATCACTGATTTCGAATTCAAAGTCAAAATTTACAAATTTTTAAAATACAAGATAATGAAAACCAAAATCGCAAAAAGTTGTTAGATTTACATTAAATTTGATATTCAAGGTTTTATTGACTGCATTCGAGAACTACGTTCTTAGCTCTCTAAGCGTACTCTGTCCTTGTTCAACTTTCTGTAAGTAATAAAGATAGAAGTAATAAAGATAGAACGACGTTCTTGCACTAAGAGCGTGGTTTTCGAACGCAGTCATTGAGTCGCTGATTTTGAATATAAAATAAAAATACAAAAAATCGCTGATTCAATATGGCAGATCAAAATTCCCAAAAAATAAATTTAATTTAATTTTGAAAAATTGCAAAATAATTGCAAATTAATGCAAAATACTTACTCTTACGAACCTCCCCTCAATGACCTTTTCCTTCACATATATTATAGGAGTCACCCTTCTGAATCTTCGGAAGGTTTTAGCCGTCGCTCGTTCTTTATTCAAAATTTAATTATTAACAAAAGAAGTTTCAAAAATATAGTAGTTATTTTGAATATTGAAAGGCATAAACGACTAATATTATGTGGAAATAATATATGTATGAACGAAGGAAAGTCGCAGAGAATAGTTGGCATAGAAAAGAGTAAAAATGAAGATAAGAGGGGGCACCTCCAATAATATTGACCTTGACATATGTTGTCAAAAGCATGACTCTATAAGTAACTTTTCCTTATAACTTAATCGTCGGTCATTGCTTATTTAAAAGTTATGAACAAAAAAAGTTTGATAAATATACAAGTTTGTGTCAATGCTAAAGGAAGTAATTTGCTGATATAATATAGTACACATACGGTAGCCCCTCCCTCACAGGCAGGGGTGGGTGGGGGTGGCGTTGGTTTGCGTGAAAAGTTGAAAACCTCAACTGTACAATGATAGACCTCGTTTCGCCTTATAAGCAGGTGTGGGGTGCATAGGGTGGGATGAATCTCGCTTTTCATGGAAAATACCAAAATACAAAATGCTGTCCAGAGAACCATCCACGCAAAGCGAGGTCCACTCCACCCCTGCTTACAGGATAAAACAAGGTCTATGGTCATCGTATGATTCGAGTTTTTCAACTTTCCACGCGAACCGAGGTCCATATATCTCCATCCACCCCCGCCTTCATGTGTACTATCTGTACACACATATTAGCAAATTACTTCCTCTATAGTACTGATACAAACTGTTATATTTCTCAGTTATATTTGTTCATAACTTTTTAATAAACAACGAGCGACGGCTAAAACCTTCTGAAGGACAGAGAGTTAAAACATCTCAAATGTCATCAAGTTCTTTCGTTATTTTTTCAACATGTTTAATTTAAAAAATGATTAAAAATCGTGAAAATTTTTTTTCTAACAATAAGTCACAAAATGGTGATAGCAAGATAATGTTAATGGAATAAAAAATCTATCGACCCGGGTATTCTAATTTTTTTTAAATTAATTTTCTTGCAAAATTAGTATTTTATTTTAAATGTATCAATTTTACTTTATGATTATTTAGCTCTCCACAATTTTAATATATTATACAAATAAATATATACATAGGTATAGTTACATATTTTTATTTTGCATGTTTTGTAACAATGAAATAATTTTTTAGCAGATATGAGGCCGAATCTAATGAATATTTGCTCAGAATGAATGCAGTTGCGCCACACGAATCTCGAGGATCTTTAAGTTCGGAATGCGAGCCATCGGTAAAAGAGGAAAGCACAAAACGTTACGTTTATACCGGTCCACCTGCGATCAGTCTGGGCAGTTGGTCGGAAAGACCCAGTGTCAACGTCCAAATCAAAACGGACACTGATTACACGTTGGGAAGAAGCAATACGACTAATGACAGTAAAACCATTGTTAATATTAATAGCATAAAAAATGAAAAAGATATTACGAACTATACCTATAGCAGCACTGGTAAGAATAACGTCACTAAGCACAAATTCAACATTGATTCTTTGACAAATGAAAATCCCGATGAATTAATCGCAAAAAAATTAATGGCACATATGACAGCGTCGAATTTCAAATTATCAAATCGAGTTAACACGGCATCCAGTTTGACGAAAAACAAAGATAGACCCGTCGTGATGGGGGTCGAGCTGAAGAAAACTTCTGTTAAAACGAAAGAAATACTAAAAAGCGAAGATGAGAACGAAGTCGACACTACATCGATGAATTTCAAAGAATTAACAAAGACATTCGGCCAGTATGGAAATTTTAAGCAGAAACCTAAACGCTCAAATATTAATAAATCTTCAGAGGATTATCGCAATGTGCAGCATAGCGAGATAGATAGAATCACAAACTCGAACGTTAAAGAAAACGGTTATGCCTGGTTTACAAAGGTAACCAACCAAAACAACTTCTCATTTAAAAATCAGCCCGAGACGCAAGGCATACAACCAAACCCACGGCTAAAAAAATTCACATCTGTCATAGGCGTAAATGAGACGAGCCAGAATCTTGGATTACAAAGTGAAATGTCCCTCAGGTGTAACATCAACAATGCTATAAAAATTAATCCACCGATGCCGGTTGTAAAAGGATTCAAGATACACACTACTGCTGATTCTAAGATAAATAATAATCAAATGAGTCACAACGGACTATCGATGGTTGATAGCTTTAACAAGAATGTACAGTTTTCTAAACCTCAAACAATGCCGGTGATAACAGGGGTGATGCTGAAGAACGCCAACGTGGGACCCAAAACAATATCGGTCCAATTAGATCCTAGGGATATGCTATTGGAGTCTATTCGGAACTTCGGCGGACATAAAAAATTAAAAAATGTAAGTATATTAGGATGAGATGTAAAGCACTCATTGGAAGTTGTTCTTTGGAATATACAGTTGTCCCAAAATTCGCAGATACGGAGTGCAGAACGTGATTGTCTGTGCCAAAAGAAATAACTTTTTCCTCTGGCAAAATTGCGTCTAAACACTACTTTTTAAATAAGATCAATTTGAAGCTAACGAATGAGCGTTCTAAATTACACAGATTCAGGGATGGCACGCGCACGGCGTGCGTGGCGCGTGAGCACTCATATAATATAAGAACATTTTCTAATTGATATCACTAAAACAACAACTGAAAGTAAAATAAGTAGATTAGATAATACATGAATAATTTTGATCCAATCATTATACCGAAAATGGTACCAATGTACTTAATAAAATCTTATCCGCAGAGCAAATATGTGCAAATGGAAGGTCTGAATTTTGATCAAATGCTTTAAAATATTTAATCGGCCCTTTTTAGGCCGATCGGAAGCCGTGTATCAATGTTACAGCAGTGTACATGGCTTCTGATAAGTTGAAAATTTATTGCCTGTGTTATTCCCTGTTCCTGTTGCCTGTACCTTTCTATTGTAGATCCAGCTTTAGATATCGTGCATAGTTCTGATTAAATCTTTAGCGAAATAGTAAAGAACAGCGTATACGCTCACGCGCCATGCACGCCGTGCGCGTGCCGCTCCTGAGTCATGCGTAACTTAGAGCGCGCTCATTCGTTAGCTTCAAATTGCTCTTATTTAAAAAATTGTTTCTTTGGCACAGACAATCACTCCGTATCCCCGAATTCTGGGCACCCTGTATACAGGATATCCTATTTTAATTGCTCCAGGCAAACATTTCGAAAACTGTGAAAATTAACGGAAATAGAAAAAAGTTTCCCAGCAAATATACAGAATATAACTGCTGAGTAATATAAGAGTAACACGTAATATAACAAATATTATACATTTTTAAGGGAATCCTATAGCGAAGGCCGAACTTCCTCTCGATGTCGATAATGTCAACATTTTTAATCCTGTTTTCTCTATATCTGTCCTTGTATAACTATAGTAATCTGTCCTTGTTCGATCGCTGCACCATCTCTCGCTACACGCAATACTGCTTACACTATCAACCTGCATGTGCTTTTGCACGTATAAAAATTAAAAGCATGACACTTTTTTTCTAGACTTCTATCGTAGTTGTAATTGAACGATATTTTGTTCTTCAATGTTTTCCCTAGAGGCTAGTATTTCATTTTGTATATATGAACTGCAGTATTTTTGTATAAGCAAATATTGTCGTCAGTGACAGCTCTATGTGCCCAAATTTTTAATTTTTTTTTTTTTTTGTTCTTGATGTAAAACCGACACTAGCCTCCTACATTTTTGTGCGTACTTTAATTCTGAACAAACATTTTGCAATTCCGTAAAGCCAATTAAAAGTGGTTTGCTTTTAACTAAATGTCGGTAATTACTGCCACTATATAGGATCCCCTTGACGTTGAGGTTGTTTATATTTTTTTATAACTGCAATATAATTCTGTTTTAAAATTGTTATATTGTTTTATTGTTTACCGTGATTATAACAGTATAACAGCAACACAACTTAAATATATCATGTTATATAGCAACTGTATTTTATGTATTATGTCTAGGTTATGTACAATTTGTTACATGCAAATATCGGATTATCACCGTTATATGGTATCTTTTTTTCTACATAAAATATGGCGAACGGTGGTATAAGCACGGTGTATAAATTACAGTACGGCACAACGTGTATCGGTTGTATCGTGAAGTCTACTCTTGTAATAAAGTGTCACACTTTTGAATTGATAGTATAATTACTGTCATTATAATAACAATTCTTTCCACTAAAATATTATTACCACGAAACATCATAGGGGAATAAATTAAAATATACACGTTATATTATACTGTAATAGGAGATACAGATAGGCCAATTAATATACAGGATGTAACAGTAGATAGCCCGTATCAAGCGTTTTTTTTTTTAATGCGCACTTTCTTGGAAAATGTTCCATACAAAAGTTACGAGATATTTTATATTTTATGTCCAAATGTAATGTCAGAATAAAGTATAAAATATCTCGTAAACTATTAATTTTTTGGTAACTCTACCTTAATACTTTTATACGTAGAATAATTAGAAGAATCATATTATGTAAAAAAATCATACAATTCCATTTAAAAAAGTGGCGATGACCTTTATGTGACCTTAAAAAATTGATTTTTTCGAAAATTGATTTTACCATTATTTGTCTCCCTTAAAACAACTTTTGTATAGAACATTTTCCAAGAAAAAGCGCATTTTTTAAAAAATGCCTGATACGGACGGTTTGTTACATTCTGTATATTTATATGTACGTATATAGACATCAAAATTTATTTCTTTTGATAGTTATGGTTTCGCAACAATGCAATCATATAAACATTCAGGTTGCTTCGCGATTATAATTGAAATATAAAATAGAAAATAAACTAAAATAATAATAAGGCTAAAGATGTTAAGATAGAAACAATTTAAAAAATATTCAGTAAACTTTTAAGATTATTAAGCAGTTAAAATTATTTCTTGCAATTGAGCAAAAATCAATTATTTCATCCCCAATTTCGTCTAATAGGAAGTCACATATAAAAAACTTTTATTATTCGGAGGAATCTATGAAGATCCCAAAAATATAGTACACCGATTGTAATCGCGTACACCAGATTTGAATGCTTGAAGAATTATGCAACAGACTATACCGTGATGTATTGTGTTGAGTTCAATTCGACATAAGAATTACAGAAGATAAATACACTCGAGACTTTTAAAATATGTTTTTTTTTTTTAATTTGTTTGTTTTAAAATTCCACATTTTTATCATTTTTATGTAGTTATATTGTATGTACAACTTAAATTTATCACCTACATTACTTTGGTTTTATTATTTATAAAACTATAAAACTATAGCGTTCTAGTTTCAGTCTCATTAATTATAACTTAGAGATTATATAATATTGTAATAAAAATAATTTTATCGTGTTTAATATAAAACGCTATATAGTTAAGATCACACAATATTATATTTTTACTAATTGAGTAATTAATATTAATATTATAATTAAAATTTTAATTTTTAACGTTGATATACATTTTTTACAAATAAATATTTTTTATATAAATTATTTATTTGCGTCATTTCTATTTATTGTAATAAAATTTAGTAGAAATTCTAACATATATCATGTTTATAAACTTCTTTTAAGAATAAAATATGATTATTATGGAATTAATTAAATTAGAAAAATAATTTTTTTTTGTTGCAGACTACAGAGAGATACTAATTGCGTGTAGCCACTCATAGAGCAATCTGAGCTAAAATTTTTTGCAGCGATGCTTCAAGATTGACAAGTTTTTTTCTATTTCTTCCGTCATATTTAGTTCTATATCATTTGTTTTTGTTTTTATATTATTAAAAATATAAGAATTATATTTCAAAAATCTTTTTGTTTAAAAAAATCTAATGCAAATAGGTTTGAGAAAAAATTTGTTTAACCTTAGAATATTAAAAGACTTTTTGGGATATGTGTTAAGAAATTCGGTTCGTACACGGAAAAATGATATGGTTTGCCATAGCTAAATAAATAATAACATTTGGCGCAGCCATATTTGATGGTTGTCACACCCAAATTGATGTGATGTCTTTACTATATTATAATTGCCGCACCACCGCGCCATGCGCCAGCGCTGGTATCAATTCTCTATGGTTGTCCCAATCATATATAGGTGTATAGTGATCCATCAATGCGGGTGTGACAACCACAGATATGACTGCGCCAAATGTTTCTATTTTCTGGCTGTGGCAACCATATCGTTTTTTCCGTGTACTATTTTTTATTACTATACATTTGCTTTATATTTTATATATATACAAACATTACTAATGTTTAACATTAGAATTTAACTGATCAGACCTTCAAAGCTGACAAGAGTGAAAATCTTGTGTTATCGCAGTATTTTTATCTAAAAAATGGAAATTTTATGTCTAAATAGTGAAAACATAAGTCATGTAAAATAGTATATTGTACAACTAGTGGGAAAAGTGGTCGATTCTAAATGAGTGTGAAGTTGGTCGCACTCATTTGGGCTCGACCACTCTTCTTTCCACGAGTTGTTCATACTATTTTTCCTAACGCAAGCGTAAAATGGGCCGCTTTTCGCGCTCGCTTCGCTCGTGCGACCAACTTCACACTCATTCAGAATCGACCACTTTTCCCACTAGTTGTACAATATACTATTTGTAATGTAAACAATATTATATAGTGCAATTCAACTTAGAAAGGAGAGAAAATATCCACATGTCACACATTTGCAATGCTAATGTTAATATAATTATTAACTTATCTTTGCTTTGTAATAGTATTCTAGGGTTAATACAAAAGTATTCAACAATTACTTCAAGTACTTATTTATTCGCTGATTTATGCCGCTAATAAGTTACATAAGAAGATTAAATATTCCTAATTTATATATTCTTACATATAATTACTAAGATACCAAAAGAAAAGTATTTGTTATTTTTTTGCTTTCAGTATTTAATGTGACAAAAGCAAGAAATTTATTTTCGCGATATTAATCATTGAGATTGCAATGATTCGTTATATCTTATATATTTTTGGTTGGGATATGTATTCTCGATAATATTAACTAGACCGATTAAAATCCGATAATAGCGTCACGTTGATTGCGTGTAAATATGATGTACAAAAGATAACCGCTGCGATAACCAAAACTCGCTACAGAACAGAAGATGTACATACTATTTAAGATATGTTCGACATTTGCTTAATTGTAGAAGATGTGTAACTTTTATTTTATTTACTTGAATAGTCATCAACTTGATGTTGCTCATTCATTAATGCAGGAAGAAAAAAGAGGGAGACAAAATTAGATTGTTTCTTCTCAGTTCGGTAGAACCGTTCGATTCTAGCTTTGGTACAATGTATACTAAAATAAATTTTATAAAGATAGAAAATATTAAACACCAAAGTTAATTGTTGGATGGCTCGATATCGGTACTATTATAATGGAGGTTTGATATTGACTACTAATAAGTCCTAATTTTCGCAATTAACTGTAAGTTTCTATCAACGGGACCAAAGGTGACATCTTATTTTTACGTATTGTAGAATGAATTTAGAGTCGTAGAACATTACTGCGCTAAATACGAGGTAGGTTTTTAATCGTTAAATCTGGTCAATTGAGTTATTATGTATCGAAACAATTGATAATAATAAATATAGATTTATTTACAACGTTATCTATAAAACGTTGAATGATCTATTTTCCTCCGTAAACATCGTATTAATATAATAGATAATTATATTACGGCTAAGATGTGAACGGACCCACACAGCACACTTTACCTAATAGCGTTTTTCATTGGTAGAAATGGTGCGCACTCAGTGCACATTAAAGCCGTTGTACATTGATTTAATCTCTAATATTTAAAGTAAAATGCAAATATTTTGACTGATAAAATTCCTAATACATATATTTTACCAATTATAGTATAATAAAGAATAGTGAGGATTTCATGACTTAACCCATTTATATCAAGAGACACGGTAGTGTCCCGTGCCAAGTACACGCGGAGCGAGACCGACCGTGACTCTTTTACGCGACGCGACGGGTTGCGAGTACCCGAGATGTTGAGATCTCGATCGATAGCTTGCGGTCCAATTAGGGGGGGGTTTCTCTTATAATATTCCGCTACGTGCCCTACGAGCGGAGATATTGCGACGCAAAGTCCAAATGTGAAAACTTATTTTTAAGATACTTCCTCTTAACGCCGACGTCTCAATATTATTATGATTATTAGAGAAATGTCACTTTCACTTTTTCGACGCTGGCGGCGCAGGTATCGCCAGTTTCGATATCGCGCGCGTATTTCGAAATAGGTCGATAGACTTATCGGTCAGGAGGAAGATTTCTATTTAGGTAAATTAGGTATATACAGGGTGATTCTGAACAACCCCGCGTCCTTGTAAAGACGTATTCTTGAAATAATTCTGAGACGATTTTTTCTCTACGAAAATTTTGTCCGAAGCTTACTTTTTAAATTATTGCAGAAAATATTTAGCCAATAACGGAGCGCGTATACAGAATACGTCTTTACAAGACCTCTATGAAGTTGGCCGGACAACTTCAACGTATCGAACTTTCATTAATTGGAATCGATTGGTGGTCGTTTGGTGGTCTTTGGTAGTCTAGTCCGATCGTTTGGTGGTTAGTCGTTTTCCTGTAAAATAAAAATGAAATTTCCGGTGTGAAGTTAGCCGGACAATTTTTATTTTTCAACCAATTTAACTTTTTTATAGCTCATTCGACGCGGAATCGTTTGGTGGTCACGAATATCACCGGTAAAACGTTTGGTGGTCAACCGCTTTTCCAGAAAATAGAAAAAACCGTATGCGCATAATGCCGTAGTCGGAACAATTGTATTTATCACCAAAATTGACTTTGATAGGGCTCAATCGACGCGGAATCGTTTGGTGGTCACGAATAT